TATCTCAGGGAAATGCAGCAGTTGAACAAAGAACAAACAGACTGAGGAGCAGATACTGCACTTTCAATTGGTGCAAAAAAGCGAATTTCACACTGTGACTGTAAATACTGGACTCTGCCTTTGTGCTGCCCTGTTCTCATAAGTTTGGGTGGAATAGAGTTCTTCTCTTGCAGACAACAGTTGCGTCAATGTGCATCAAGAATATGTGACATCTTTGTTTGATAGATTAATGTAGATAGAACCATTAGAAGAGAGAGAGAGGTGAGGAATTACATGTAACAAAAATTCATTAAACTGGGGGAATATCCAGCATCACAGAAGTGGTTCTTTTCCAGTTTGTAAACCTAAATGTGTGTTCATTACATATGGGCTCATCTACATCTGTGCAATATCCATAACTAGCTCATGTAACTGTCAGAAGTAAATAAATGTGGTCAGATGCTTGCAGTTTGCAGGTAAACAGTATGATCTGTCCTCTTGCTTGTTTTTTTCTTTACCTACATTTTCTAAAGAAAGAAAGAAAGAAAGAGCGGGCTGGTTCTATGGTTACTTGACTGTAGCTTGGAGCAGTTGGATTCAGGCCTGACTTGGGATGATCAGGAAAAAATGTCAGCTGTCTGGTTTAAAATCATTATTTTCCTATCATGTGTTCAATGTGATTAATCAGTTATCAAAATAGCTTTAATAATATTTCTGTCAATACATAGATCAATTAATCACCTCATTATGATAGTTTAAACTGATGCAGTTCATGAACGTTAACCATTATTTTCATTTTATGACTTCATGCCTGCATTTCTTCCACTCTGAAGTGCTACCGCCTTGTGTGTACATGCGTTTGCAGTGGGCGCCCCCATGTGGTAAAAGTTAGCCAAAGCTTCAACGTTCTGCACATCAAGTGTTGAAATGCTTGCAAAATGTTACAAAATTGAGAGACTTTGAACTTCTTTGCATAGAGGGCATCTTAAAACTTTTAATAAATCAAAATTAAATACAAATATGGAACAAATTTCCTGTAGTACAAAGAGTTTACTAACACACAACTTACTATCCACACAATGTAGCAGAGAGAACAACAAGTAAGACTGCAGTTTTATGTCATTGCTACAGATGAAAGCTCTTCATCTTAATCTCAACATGGGCTTTAGAGAGATCCACAAACAGAGAAAGAGATATGTAAATAAATCAAACATCAAACCGATCTATTTCAGTTTGACAGTTTCGAAGTGTTATTTGAAATACACATCACATCGACATGTTTATTCTGTTGCAATAACAGTGAGGCAGTGTGGCATTTCCTACAAGTCAGTATCGCTGATACAGCATAACATCAACCGGCTCAAATGTTCCCCAGCTGGAGTCTTGTGAAGGTTTCTGTCTAATCTATTAAACAGTTCAAGCTATAAGCGGGGCAGAAAACATGGATGCATGTATGCCTGTGTGTGACATTTAGTTGAAGGAAATGAAATGTGAAGCCCTTTTGTAATGAATCATCCTCAGCCCACATCAGGTCACACATTTTACAAGAAAGAGAAAAGATGAACATCTGCGTAGTGCTGCATGGCTGCATCTATGAGTGCGAATCAGCACACATTGTTGGGTTGAAATAATGTAGCAGCTAATATATTTGAGGCCGCGGTCACACATGCAAAATGTAGTTTACATAATGTGCAACAATACCGACATATTCTAAAGAGAATAAGAAGAAATGTTTTCTGTAATAACCAGAAAGCAAAAAAGCTGCAACCAACTGAGGTCAGACTGCAGATGCATCTGGTCACAATCAGCCAAACAAACACCTGCATGCTTTTAAACTGTCTCAACATATAATGCTTTTCTTCAATAAATACAATCTATATATTATTTAGATATGTTTAGCTTTCTCACGCACACACATTTCAAACTCGAGCACACTGTCAAAATGAAGTCACACACTCATAGGCTGTATACTATATTGATCATGAAATCATAAAAAAATAAAATGCTGGTTTACAATATGAACCAGTGCTTGATATATTTATGTTTTCCTACTGAAACATCTCATGCACAGAGAGGTGTCAGTATCCGTTGAGAGGTTTAAAAACATGCTGCCTGTGTTTGGATGAAGATGCCAAAAGCTGTGTTAACGATATTCTGGCCTCGTTTTCAATAAAATAACACTGTTGACATTCACTAGTTTTATGTATGCAAAACATTCTTAGTCACTTAAATTGTATCACATCTAGTAAAGGGGCTTCATAAAAGACAACAATATTAAAGATAATTTTAAAAATACACTGCACAAATCAAGTTTCACATTTTGGTAAACTCACAGGAAAGCACATCCACAACTCAATGGGCTCATGAAACAAAACAAAACCAACAAAAAAGTACAGGCACTTCTTTTTCTGTAAAAAGTAGGTCAGTTCAAAGCTGTGAGGAAAGACAAAAATAGGAGAATATTACAATAACGTCAACCGTTTCCCTTTTAATACCTCAGCACTGCTTCCATCCCGAGACCTTCACATCTCAGCTCCAGCCTCCACATGTCTGCGTCTAAGCATGACCAAAGGCTACACCCATATGGAAATATAACTGTTCTCACAGAGTGGTCTGCACTCCTAACGTTTCTGCATTTAGAAACATTGCTGCCTCAAGGTTTAAGGATTGAAGCTGTTACTAACAATTAATAGTGACTGTTTGTAACTCCAAATAGCCTACAGTCCAGACAGATAATGGGCCCCCCTGTGACTCAGGAACCAAACATCCAATATCAAAGAAATGCAAAACAGCTACAAGTGACATGTCCATGACGTATCCGGTCGTCTCCTGTCTAGACTTTGGAGTCATTTTGCTTCAGTCATGTTTTTTTTATCTTTCTTTTTTCGTTCTCTAGTACTATGCAGTCATTCTATGGCTGCTTTGCATCTCTTTGTAATAGTTCTGTGTCTCTTTGTGGTTATTTTCCCTCCTTCAGTGATATTTTGTGGCACCTTTTCTGTTTTGCATCTCATTATAATCAAACATCCCATTGTAGTCGTTTTGTGTCACTTTATGGTTGCTTTGTTTCCTTGAGTCATTTTGCATATACAATGCATCTCTTATTTACTTATTTATGTCCCTTTGCAGTCCTCTTAGCTGTCATTAAAGTCATTTTATGTCACTTTGTTGTTTTGCGATTCTATGTAGTCATTTTGTGTCTATAGCAGTTTTGTGTCTTTTGCAACTGTTTTGCATGACTTTGCGGTTGTGTCATATCTTAGTGTAGTCATTTTGTGTCATTTTGGAGTTAGTTTGTGTTTCTTTGTAGCCATCTGAATGACTTTTAAACAGGAAATGTAAACAAAGGTACTTCTCCAACAGAAGCTGTGACATAAGTTAATATTGATTGTATTTATTAAACATGTCAAACTTGCATTGATGATATTAACACGGGGGGGAAAAGAACTTTCAGATTTAGGTTACTTGAGTTCCTTGAAGCTCAGAGTAATTCCACGGGTTAGGCAAGTTAATCAAATGTTCTACTCCAAGACTTAAAAGTGGGACCAAAAGTTTTCTAGTGAAACAATTTTAGAATCAGTTCCCTATGAGGAGGTTGATAAAGGTGGCCCCAAGTCTGCCCATCTTTGTTAGCCATATACAAAGGATCACTCTTCAGTGTCCCGAGTGTCATGTAAATATCAGCAGAGGCTACTCTAAGTGAGCAATCTCAAAGGTTTACAAGGAATTAACTTAATAATAGATATGCTTGAGGCGGTCCTTCATACTGTATATTGGCAGTATCTCACAGCGCAACAATTCATCGCCATTCCACCACTAAACACTAAACGTCAACAAATAGTGAGAAAGGCCAAAAGTTTACTATCAAAAGATATTTGTAGTTTTTTTTTTTAGGACTTGTATGCAAATATATGTTTTTTTTCTAATAAAATATGTCATATTTCCATTTGGGCAAATCAGCTCGACTACCATCGCTGTTGATGTTTCCTGGGAAAACATCCCAGAAACCCTTACAAGCTACGGTGCATCTTCCACAGATCCAACAAGAAACTAACACTGCAACTAACGGCAAAGTAATGGAACAGTATACACACGCACGCGGGCACGCACACACACCAACATTCACAACTAAAATACTGCACTCAGAATTCATGGAATTCAAGCAATGTCCACCACCACAAATGATTACCAATGAACACAGGACTCTCGAGTTGGAGGCATAGATGTTAAGAAACCGTAAACGAGTTTGAAATTCCAGCTGCACTACAAACTGTGTGCAAAGCTGAGCAATATTCTGAAGGCTACATGGGCGTCACACTGTTATTGGAACCCCATCTTTGCAAATGTAAAAAAAAAAAACACGTTAAGAACACAATAAAAAAAACAAACATTATTAGTTAACCAAATGCCAGGCAGTACACGCCAACAGTGAGCACAAGCGCCTAGACCTGCTTAATCTATTGCTGTGTCTGTAGGCTATTAATCTACATAGCTACGGTGTCACGGGTCTAAGGCTCATTATTTTCAGTTTTTAAGTTGAACAAAAACCTGCAAATTTTAAACTTCAAAAATACAAAAATACAATACAAAAACCCAGTTAAAAAAAAGAAGAAGAAAAAATATTATTTGCTTAACAAGCACTTTGTAGTTTGACAGATTTTTTTTTTTAAAGCTGCACAAGCAGTATTTATTTATATTAACTGTAGGCCAAGAAACTACCAATTCTTTGAAAGGACTAAGTGACATCTGGACAAAGAATTATAGTCTGATCCTACGGTTCCACTCAGCTCTACAAAGCGTTCCTCGATCTTTTAGCTAATTGTTCTGGTTTGACCACCACCGTCATCAAGCAGATGGCAGCTGTTTGCAGTGAAAACGCTCTGACAAGCCCACTGTACACTGCTTGCACTGCAGATAGATAAAGTTGGTAACTTGCTGGTTGACACCGTAAAGCATCTAGCTAGCTAAAGAGCCAGAAAAAAAATCCTTTGAGTTAGAGGACACGACTAAAAGGGGAGAACAGTGGACTTAGATTTACCAGGTTGCCACAGACATGCCTTCCAGTGAATGCTAATTCTATTTAGCATCTATTGGGTATGTAAGTAACCTTTCAGGGCCAGTGAACAAAAACAAACAAACAAAAAAAAGGAGCTTTAAATATTTTCAGAGACTCAAGTTAAGGTACTTATGCGAGCTATGCTACTGGCCAGTTAATCGCAAATATTTTTGCTCATAGCTAGGGCTGAACAGTTAATCCATTTCAATTGAAATATTGCAAGTTGAAACAATGCATTTGGAAAGGATGCAATTTGTCAGAAAATTGCAATTAAACGTTTTCCCTGTCGTTCAGCCCTTACTACAACTAGCAAACAATCAGTAGGTTTTGTTACAGGAGGATCTTATTTAATTGCTGTACGGAAAAGAATCAGGTCATATTTCTACATAAAACTGAACATGATGAGCCTCATCTATAGTACAAGAAGCCAGAGCATTATCACTGCAGATTAGAGACAGTGTCATAGTTGTCAAGGTTTTTCACAAGCGTAATGTTCTACATAGGAATGCTTTTGTTAGTTCAAATGCATTTCAAGGGCCTTCTGGAGAACGGGAAAATAACACGTCATTGGCCAGTACTGGTATCTATGTTATGTACAGGCCTTCAGTAACTTTGGTAAGTAATCACTGTTCTGTTAAATAAAAACTCGAGATTTGTAAAATAGTAACAATGGCTAAAGAGGCTTTTAAAACCACCAGCCCCTGCGGCCAGTGGGCCCAAAAGAACTTGCTCTGGTCTTGCATATTGCCGCCAAATATATTTATAACAAAACCAAAACAACTACACAGACCCTAAAGAGAAATGCCAGTTAATGGTGATACAAAAGCCTGGTAATTCAAACAGGTTAGTAGCAACAAAAGGCAGGGTTGGATTTATGCCCTCAACTTTTGCCTAAAGCCCTGTGAGGTCTACAATGGCCTTAATGAAGATGGTGTCGTCACGTATGTAGGAGTTTTTGGAGTCCAGCTTGGACAGCGGACAGAAGAGTGGGCAGCCGCTGGCGATGTTCATATCACTGACGGGCCTCTGGAAGGACGAGGATGAGATGTCGGGCCGGAAGGCATCAATTATGTGCTCCCTGTTGTTCTGGTCGAGCAGCATGAGGGTGACCTGGGTACACATGTTATGAACGTAGCCTTACATCGGAAAGAAAAACTGGAGCTGATGCACAATGCAGTTCCAGCTTTAGTATGATGACACATCAAGGGGCAGATATAGTATGATTACTACTCTAAATAAATCATTTATCATAGAAAAGGTAAATCATAAAAAAGTGGTGGAAAAACTCATTGAAACATTCAAACTTAACACAACATCACGTAGTAATCTATATATCTACAAAAAATGTGCAAGTTGTATATTTATTTGCTTTCTTTGTGAGTTAGATGAGAAGATACTGATATCTTTTCTTTAGAATTTTGGCATTTTCCTTATGCTTGATTTAGGATGTTTAGTTAGTGTAGCTTAGCCTAAGAATGTTAGCAGGGGAAGTTTAAACTACACATAACAATAACTCTAAATACCATTAACCCTATTTTTGAGCCCTTTCATGAACAGAAACTAAAAAAATGTAGCTAAGAAAATATTCTTGCATGTAACTTCTCATAAAGGCGCAAATTGTTAATTTTAGTCTGCTGATGTATATGTGTTGTTTTGTACTTCAGGTACAGTTTGACTAGCTGTTTCAGTCTATTGCTGAGCTAGGCTAACTACAGTAGTTCCTCACTATAGCTCTGAACATTAAAGTAACAGCAGTTACAGCATTTTTAGCTTGTTAGTGGAGTTCAGTTACAAGAGGATTCAATCCTTCATTTTTGATTGGATCTCTTAAAAGCAGGTTTAGTTAGTGAATATACAGTGATGGAGAGTTGTTCAAGAATTAGTGGGTCATAAACGACTGTTGACATTCACCCCACATCGCTGTGTGGAAGATGAGGTCAAACACATAGTGTGCAAGAAAATGGGTACCAGCTGTGCCATTTGTTTTCATATATTTTGATGAAGCACATGTGGGGCCTAATGCAATGACATTTAACCTCAATTACATTTTTGACAGCACACTGTCCTATATTATTACTTCGCTAGCTGTTATGACTCATGAGCTAAGTGCCTTTTTTATGATAAGGAAGGATGGCTGGACCCCAAAAATCACATCTAAATAAAAAAATTGCTATACACAGTGCTTAACAAATGTATTAGACCACTGCCCAATGTAAGGTTATTGCCACAGCTGCCTTAAATTAACAGCATTGGTAATTACCAAAATATTTTTTTTATGTCTGTAATAGTTAATACACCAGTATGTAGAAGCTCTTTAACCAAAATATTTTTATGAATCAAATATAAATATTTTTGTTGTCCCTGAATTTTCAAATTTACTGTTTTACAAATAAACTTAAAAAAAGAGTAAAGCACATTATTATGTTTTGATTAAGATGTCAAATTATAGTTATTTACTTGCATTTCTGAACAGAAAACTTTGTTTTAGTGGTTGAATGCTATGCTAAGTGAAGCCCAGTGAGCTGGCTCAAATTTGGATATAAAAAGGTGAATTCAGTTTGAAATTTCTCATTCCTGTTAAAAATGGTAAAACGTTGAGAGCTGAGTGTGCATGAAAGCACTTCATAATGCTGGATGGTCTTTTGTGTTATATATATATACACAGAACTTAACAAATTAGGTAGGTGGTCTAATAAATTTCTTAAACGCTATATGACATGAGATTGGTATCAACTGTCTCATCTCACTCTTAGAAAGAGAGCAAACAAGCATGTATTTTATGATTGCTTTTACTTTTTTTCTGTAAAGGGACAGTGCATGAAACTGAATAATAAAATTTGGTAGTATTGTCTTTAAATAGGTTTTATTCATGTTTGTTTTGTTCAAAGTAATTACTATTGTATAGCAGGACAATACATTTTGGACTATAAGGACTGTTACCTTCTGATTAAAAGGCCATTTGAGGAGTGCGTCACTGTGTCCTCTCATCACCACAAAGAACAGAGACAAGTGGGTGCCGCGGCCCGTCCCATCACCATTCAGGTAGATCCGCAAGCACATCTTGTAGCCGTATTTACTGGTATAAAAGGCTGGAAAACATAATACAGCAATCATGTGTCATGATGCATCTTATTCCCAACTAAAAAGTGTAAATCCTTACTCAGGCTATCAATGTATAAAGTAACTACCAGGAGAGAACATAGCAGGGGCACGGCCAGCCACAGCGTCCTGCCTCTTCTTGGTGAAATCAGAGATCTTCCAGACAAAGATGCCATCATATGTGGCTGCAGACATCTCCCTCATTTTACCCTCCATCTCCACGATGGACAGGTCCCTCAGACTTACCGTCCTCTCCAGTTGACGAACCTGCAGTTTAAAAACAGATGAACAGGACTGTTTATTTAGCTTAACAGGCCGCCTTTGAATCAGTAAAAACAAAACTGATGCTTAGTCAGTGCTGTAATGTAATGTGCTACACATAGGTGATAACTGTACTGTAAAACTATAGTGCAATAATATAAGAGATATATGGATTAAAAGATGTTTTGGCTGTCACTGTGTAAGGTTAAATGCAAAAATGCATGCTGCAGTCATGAGAGCAACTGTAGGTCAGACATTGTGGCCTGACTTACTGATTTTGCCTGGACAGCAGCAGTAGATGTGACACACTGCTCATTGAGGCAATGAAGGTACTTGAAATAACAATGTAAAGCAATTGGATAAGAACATCACCAACAGATTTACAACTAACAGTCCTGGCTGTAGTTTGTGATCTGTAAAGAAGTGCTAACTAGCTAACTATCAACTGCATGTGACCAGCACCACAAGTATAGGCTGGAGGTGTTTCAAGGAAAGAGGAGATCCATCAAGGAGTTTTGCAAGGTGATCCTGAAGGAGGCTGAGGCATTGTGAAGAGTTTTACTATGCACTGTGAAAACATTTACATGACATTCATAAGACGTAAGGTAGTGTTACTCAGTGGTGCTGAGGGAGGAAAGAGGCACATTAGAGATGTGTAGAGGCCATGTGTCATTTTGTTACCTTGTTGTTGAGGATTTCAATCTTGTCCTGGTCTAATCGGTGTTGGCGGTTGTAGGCCTCCATGGTGGTGCAGGAACGCTCCATCTCTCGGTTGAGGACGCAGACAATGTTTTCAAACGTGTTCACTTTGAGCTCCAGCTCCTGGCAGCGCCGGCTGAGCTCAGCCACTTTCGTCTTTTCACTCTGAAGCTGCAACTCCAGGGCGGCGCCTATAGCGCTGGGCAGCGGGGTAAAGGAGGTGGTCAGGGTCGGGGCACATGCACCCTGCACGGGAGCTGCACCACCTCCACCCAGCTGGCTCATCTTCAGCTCCAGGTCCCTGAGGGACTGGTGGAGCTCCTGCAGCTTCTGGCTGGCCACCTCCAGGCTTTGGGGCTGCAGGCTCTCTAGACTCACCTTGATGCCCATGATAAAATGCAGAAGCAGGTTGAGGTGTTCATATGAACACTGCCGCTCATGGTCATGGATCTTCTCTTTCTCCACCTTGGAGTTAAAGAAAGATACGAGCAGAAAGACTTTAAGAAACTAAACAATAGTCCTTATACTCAGTGATGCATGATGATGAATGTGAAACACTGCAACAGGCAAAAGAAGACAGTAGAGTGCACGGCAAAGCAAAATATGGAGATAATGATATATACACTACACAAAGTATTCATACCTTTAATTTGTCATGTTTTGTTGTTTAGGCATACTGATTGAACAGGTAAAACAATGTTTTGATGTCAAAGTCAGTCAAAAATATGAGAAAACTTTTGAAATATAAATGTTCATACCCCTTATGACATATTTGTATAAGTTCCACATTAAATTGAATGATGATTAACTACATGTAATAATGTGTGCATTTAATCTCAGGTTAAATTGTGGTGAGTAACTACTGATGGTGGTCCGAGGACAGTCTGCCTCTTGTAAATCTAAAGGTTTAATTCGCTGCTACTAAACACCCAAACAACTTGGCAGAATAAACACAGCAGCCTTGATGTGAAGCATGGTGGTGGCAGCATCATACTGTGAATTGCTTTCTTGCTGGGGACTTTGGAGAGAGTATGACGAAAAAAATATTGGGCCAAATGATGGAGCAGGATGAGCTAATGCAAGACACCTGCCACCTAGATTCATACATCAGAATTACACCACTCCCAACATGTGAATGGCTTTAAAACCACAGCAAAGTCAGAATCCATCTGTTAATTCAATACAGATTTTGTTGCCAGATATAAAAACTGCTGCTCCCGCAAGGTCTCTACCAAATTTGACAGAGCATGAAAGTTCATTCTTGCCCATGGAACGAACAGAAGTTTTGACAAACAAAAACTTTCAACTTTTTTTTACAGGGCTCTTAACTGCACCTCACAGCATTTTTTCCCCAAAGTATGTTTTCTTCAATAATTTGTTGTTACTTTGAAAAAGCTTGAGCTTCTTCTTGTTGAAAAAAGATACAGAGCCATTCCCTTTAAAGGGGATCCCCAACCTTTTCACACTTCACAGTTTGTTCACAGGTGTTGGGTAATACTGAAAATGTGATTAAAAGCTGTATTCGCCTTTTATAAAGTCTGATAATGTCCTTCTTATGTAATGTCTTTTGAGTGTCAGTTGGGTCTGAAATATCTGAATGTGATGAATAGCTCCCACTAAATATTAATGTGAAGGAACGAATCTTGCAATCAAATTCATATTTTATATTTGTACTAAAATATCCACAACCTGACTTTAACTGTTTCACTTCGTGTTGATCAGTGCCACAAAGCTTAAACACACCTATGTGATGTGTTTCTGTAAAACAGCAGCACATGGAAAAGTCCAGGTTAGGTGAATACTTTATATAGGCACAGTGGCTACATACAAACACAGGCTTTATATGCAACAACACTGGATTCATTTAGAGGCATGTAGCAGCCAACACTGTAATAACTGCTGAATAATGTAATACCTTGGCAATGTTTCTAAAGGGTCAAAAACTAACTCATTAAGGAATATCATATCATTTTATTTTCTAATAATCTAGTAGGGAAAATCATGTTATGTGCACTTTGCCTCTTTATCTTTTTACTTTAAACATCAGTCGGAAAAATGTGTTACTTTTTCTCACTTTCTATCTACCCACTAAGTGGAGGATTTTGTTTCAATTTGCCAAGTTATTAAATGATTCAGAAGTCATGAAATTAGCCACATATAGCAAATTATGACGAAAATGTCTACTTACAGACGTATCGCAGCCAACAACATGAAATCTGCATGGTGCTTTAAATTTACTGCAGAACTTAATATGGTCCACATACTGCAAAACAAAAAAAATGAAAGAAGCTAATGATCTATAGAATACATTGCAGAATTTGAACCCTAGCTAAATGGTAAATGAGATCAGTCTTAACAGAACTATGACAAATCATTAAAACATCTGGGATACCTTTTCTCTGGGGATCTTTTTCTTTGCACAACCTTCACAAATCATTGGGTACTTTGGACAGATTTCATCATGAGCCTAAAAGTAGAAGAAGTAACGTTAGTTCACAATAAAAGAAAATACTTCTGTACTTTTCCTGCATTTTTCACCTTAAGGCATCAGTGGCAGCTTGGTTTTAAATGTATGTTAATATGCTAAGGTGTATCTGCTATTTGTGATAAAATTCCAAATGTTTAACCACATCTCAATCTCCTTCAGGAAATGATACCCACTCAGGTGACTTAGGTTTTTAAAAGTCTGACTCTCTGGGCCCCTAATTCAAACAAAAAACAAAATCACCTTGAAATTGTAAATTGTGAGGCTTTTCTTCATCTATTTCTTGTGCAGATGTGTGTTGATTTAGGAACGAGAGTTGCCATAATTTTGAGACTGTAAACAAGATGTATAATGTTGCCATGGTACAAGTATAATGTAGTCCATAGCAGATGGGCAAAATGTGCTACAATTTGAGCCCTGTATTCTACCGTAGCACTACTAAAAGTATGTGAAAAGGCTATGGGATTCCTGTGCAGTCATGGATGTACAGAGGCTGAATGATATGGACAAAAAAAAAAAAAAAAACAACAACAACACTGCAATATTGTGTTTTCTGTGAGATATATTGGGATATGAAAAAAAATATAGCAATTTTCACCAGATCACTTGACGATTTGGAAAAAAAGAAAAATTCCACAAAGATTGTGGAGATTTTGTAGGAGAGTGCATCTGCATAGAAAATCAAAACTAATTTTATAAAAGTAAAAAAATGAAAAACTGCAAAACAGTAGTTTGTTGCTTTGGATGCCCTTCAGATCGAGCGTTGCGCTCATCATACAAAGCTTTGTGGCGCTGATTTAAATGGTCAAACAAATTATACTTGTTACCTTGTGTGTTACCAGCAATTTTAAAACAGAGTACTTTTATTTGGCCAATATAATCCTTTCTGTAGCCAAACAAACATACAACTGACAAGGGTTGCACACTTATGGCTAAAATGATCATCACAATTATTGAGATCAATACTGCAATCACAGTTAGCCTATGTATCACAATAAGCTAGCGATTTTAGACACTAAATATTTTTATTGCACTCTCACATCTAAGTAAACAGACAGCTACTTCCACTTCAACATTGTGCTACATTCATGTTAATGTACAAATCTGCATCAAAACAAACTAAATTCCGAATGCAGAGCATCTCAGAGAGGCAAAATATAATAAATTGTACACAAATCTCCTCGCTTGCAGAACATCTGCTTATTAATAGACATGACAATTTACTGATGTTCCCGAAACATTATTGAGAAGAAGAAGCTTTATTGTTAGCGTACAAGAAATATAAAAAAAAATTGACACCATCTTTGCAGCAGCTACTATATTTTGTCTCGAGTGGTAACATCAGACAAGAGTTTACCCGCTTCATTCGCGCGCATAAGTCGCGTCATTCGCGTCATTCCCGCGTCAAGATTTGTGTCTGATTTCAAGTCATTTGCGCGAATGACGCGATCCAGACGCCAGATCCATGGGAACCCCCAGTGACGCACACAGCTCGGAGAATTCCTCCACCTTCTCCAGGAGCTGCGCCTGGATGACGGCCGCTTTCAGCGCTGTTTTCGGCTGATCCGGACCCAGTTTGACTACCTGTTGTAGAGGATCGGTACCAGGATATCCCTCCAGGATGCCAACTACAGGCGCTCGCTGAGATAGAGCCATGTTTTTTCCGTGCCACTTACAACAACACAGACAAGCGGCCGCCAGCAGGAGTACGTTGACTACACGGAGGTTTATCCCGCGAGCACTGTGATAGCTAGCAGCTCGGCTCGCTAGCTTGCTAAGTTGAAGAGTAGCATTCTTGTGTGTGAACTGGAGGAGAGGGACAGCCAGTCTGCTGAGCACTGAGATCTGCCCTGGCCAGTGATGTGGCTACTTATCTCCTGGGGTGCGTAAATCAATCAGTATTCACAGTGTAGTTGTAAAAAACTGAATGAATCATGTTGTTGACGTAACCAGAGAATCTCAACACTGATTGGCCATCACGGCGCGTCAGATCGCAAAAGTTCAGATTTTTCAACTTGCTCTTCAAACGCGCGGCTAGAATCGCGTCATTCGAGCAAACAACTCGCTCAATTCGTGTCAATCGCGCCGCGCTAATCGCGCGAGTCGCGCCGCCGGACGTTTACTCGTGTCTAATCGCATCTTCACATTGACTTTTCATGTAAATCATTCGCGCGAATGATTTTACTGGTGTCTGGTGTGAACACAGCATCAGTCACAGTGTCAAAGCTGAAGCAATATGGCATGCAGCCCTAGTACACACAACTGTCACTGGATTACTAGGACACTGAAAAAAAAAATTAAAACCTGATGGTTTTCAGGTTATTTCTACAGTTGTAGCCAGCATCTTTTTTTCTACAATTTCTGAGTGGATTTAGGAACGTTCATGTTCAACAGACTTCAAAAATAAAGATCTAATAGTAAAACAATCTAAAAATGTGTTTATTGTGTCTGTGAGATCTAATTTGATTGAGTTATACTCTAAATGTAGTGGCACCAGGTAAATGGTGTTTGTATATGGGTAAGTGATGACACTCAGGCAGCACTTCCCATAAACCACTCAGCATATGACAAATCCATACACCATCTGGGTGGCTGAGGCACTGAACCCAGGTAAAGCCTTGGTCACAACCGGATGCACGACTTTTGGGATCACACGTCCTCTGCGAATTTTGGGTACCGTGGAGGTCATAGAGGTAGAGGAAAGATTGCAAGGGCTCCATCAGAAATGTGTAAGAGAGGACCAAGTCTGCCTTGCAAGTTGCAGGGGCGACATGAGATGTCCGTTCAAGCAGGGACGCTAATTGCAACGTGCGATTGCCGTGGAAATTGTACTCACTTCTTGAGCTTGTCTTGCCACCTGCATACATGGCACTCACTCACAACTTACAAAGAGAATGGAACGCACGGCCAAAGTCAGTCACACTTGCCTCACATCTTGTGATGACGTACCGATGGCGGGATTTTCAATCTTGTAAATTCTGTTAACATACTGACAGCTTCAGGACGTTCTGTCATCCCGGGGCAATTTTTTAAAAAAAAGATCCGGGACAATACAAACTGATTTCAGGACAAAAGTTAAAACTTTATAACAAATGGGGATGAAAATACATATGATTTTATGTTTTGTAGCGCACACACAGATTCTGACAACTTGATGGTGACAGCTCGCCTGCAGTGTCACTGTCAACCCCAGTACTGACTTCCAGCTGATACTGGCCAGCAGCATCTTCCGTGAGCCGACCTGCTCCTCCATCAGAGACACGTACCAGCTGTAACACATATTTTAGGCCGTAGGAACCCGAATGGCCGGTTGTGACCGAGGCTAAATGTAATGACAGCTGAGACAGCATTCCCNAAGCTAGCGATTTTAGACACTAAATATTTTTATTGCATTCTCACATCTTAGTAAACAGACAGCTACTTCCACTTCAACATTGTGCTACATTCATGCTAATGTACAAATCTGCATCAAAACAAACTAAATTCCGAATTCAGAGCATCTCCGAGAGGCAAAATATAATAAATTGTACACAAATCTCCTCGCTTGCTGAACATCTGCTTATTGATAGACATGACAATTTACTGATGTTCCCGAAACATTATTGAGAAGAAGAAGCTTTATTGTTAGTGTTCAAGAAATACAAAAAAATTTGGCATCATCTTTGCAGCAGCTACTATATTTCGTCTCGAGTGGTAACATCAGACACGAGTTTACTCGCTTCATTCGCGCCCATAAGTCGCGTCATTCGCACATCAAGATTTGTGTCTGATTTCAAGTCATTTGCGTGAATGACGCGATCCAGACGCCAGAGTGTGATCATGAGTGTGATCAGATGCAGTGTTTTCATCCATTCATACTGAGGCAGTGATCGAAGAAACGGCCCTTGCGCTGAGACATGCAGCCACGCCAGGTAGCACTGTGCTGTCCAGGGTCCTGAACTGTACATCTGATTAGATTATGGTATATCCATTCTTTGTTTGAAACAATAATGCAATCGACCATCACTGGCGAAACGTGAGCGTGCACCATGAGCACATCTTTTACACTCCTGGCGTGGGGTGATGTACGCCCACTATGCATTCGATTTTGTTCATGAGTTGTGAGTGTGAGCACCATGCTTAACACACAAGGGGCACTTGTGACCACAGATTTTCTTCCCATGGTGCCTTAAAAATGTGCACGTCTCACTCACAAACTCCTTGCAAGGGGGAGCAAGTTACACTGTTCACAGAGAATTCGTAGGATCTTTTTGACATGTCAAAGATCCTCCCTACATGCTTACGGGCTGTCTGACCTCAACATTTTGCAGACGGACTTGTGTAGCGCGTACCATTTTGCACGTATTTTGGACGCAGACAGGCCGTAGGAGCCCAAATGGCCGGTTGTGACCGAGGCTAAATGTAATGACAGCTGAGACAGCATTCCCGAGGATGGTCATGAGATACCAAAGAATCCTGTGGGACATCTAATAGAGGTACCTTCAGATTAGAATATTTTATCGCAGAAATGTAACACCATCTATCGATCATGAAATAAATGTAGACGAACTTTGTCTCATGTTACGATATTACAAGCGGATACATAAATAAAGCAACAGCTTCTTAGTAAAGTCACACTCAAGCACAATACTTGAACAGTGTTGGATTATGACAGTAGGGAAAAGCCTGACCTTGATGTTCTTTAACAGGAACGGCTCTTTGCAGTATTTGCAGTTCAGCGTCCTCTCTGGACACTCTCTCTCATTGTGGCGCTCCTGTTCATTGGCTCTCATCAGCTCTTTACAGGAGGGACACAGGATGATCATGAAGTCACAGTTGCCCTCGTGGCTGGTCTGCAGGTGATCGACAGAAAAGACTTGTTATACAATGTTATATCACTTTATAAAGAATTTGGCCACACCATTGACTTGATGATGCCACTAACTGTAGACTGTCACTAGGTGGTGTGTGTGTGTGTGTGTGTGTGTGTGTACAGTAAACAACAGAAGTGAGTACATCTCTGGGCAATAAGAATTCTGTTGCATACTATGCAAGTATATATAAATTCTGTTGGTTGAACAACTAAATGTGACCGAAACAACATAGAAGTCACGCTCAGACCTTCACATCATTTAACTGTTTTTGCTTTTCAACATTGAATCATGGAAAATATAATTTGACTTTTTTGGGGGGAAAAAATCCCAAAATAATGAAAACTGATTTCTATAGAATGATGTCTTTTAATTAAAAATTTAAAGCGTGAAAAAAGTGACTACATAAGTATTCACCCACTGCAAGTAAGTATTTAGGAGATGCACATTTGCCACATTCACAGCATTTAGTTTGTGTGTTTAGGTCTCAACCAGCACATCTGGACACTGCAATTCTACACCATTCTTCTTTACAAAACTGCTCAAGCGCTGTCGGGTTGCACAGGAAATGTGGGTGAACAGCCCTTTTAAGTCCAGCCACAAATTCTCAGCACTCTTGTAAACTGCATCAGGTTGTCCTCCAGGATTTCACTATACTTTGCTGCATTTGTTTTACCCTCTATCTTTGAAAGGCCTCCATGTAAAACCGCCGAGAAGCATCACCATATTTTAATGCTGCCACCACCAGCCTCAGTGTGGAGGTTGTTTTTGAGGAGCCCAGTGTTTGGTCTCCACCAAACATAGCATAAGTGTCTTGGTATCCCTCCTCACAAGCCTTTTTCTTGCTGCTCAGATTTACTCATGTGCCAAAGTCCTTCCGTTTCTTAATGATAGATTTAACTATATTCAAACAGATATTTAGTGACTTGGCTTTTTTTCATTCATTCACTGACTTGTGCTTTTCAATAACCTAGTGTTCTGTTGTCTTCATGGTGTAGTTATAGCCAGGAGTACTTGTTCACCAGTGACTGGACCTTCTAAATACAGGTGTTGACTTTCTGCAACAATTGCTTGAGACACATTCATTGCACTCAGATGATCTCCACTTCACTGTGAGACATCAGCACCAATCGGATGCACCTGTGATGAATTGGTTAAGATACTTTAAAGAGGGAGAATACTTATGCGATCACTTATTTTAGTTTCTAGATTTTAAATTAACTGACATTACTTAGTAGAAATCTGTTTCCACTTTGCAATGAAAGAGTCATTTTTGTAAACTGTCAAAAAGTCAAATGAAATTGACCGTAATTCAGTGTTGAAAAGCGATAAAAGGGGAATATGTCTCAGTGGGTGAATGCATTTTTGTAGGCACTGCAGGCATTTTCCATATAAAAAGGTATTTTGATAACTTTTAAATTTAAAAGAACAAGTTCAAACACAAGTGAAAGAAAGAAAATAGCAAGTAGCACTGGTAGATGTGTTCTGTTTCAGGTTACAATGAGAGGAGAAAATACATACAATCCAGTTAATCCAAAGTTAGAAGCCTTATCAGATGTTAAATCACTGCCCAGTAGCTCATTACAAATTACTAAATTTTAAGCAATTTTTGACCATTGATTTTTACAATACATGAAACATTTTACAGCAATTATTTTTATATTTTGACATGCACTTCTTTGGCATGTGTATAGGACTTCCTTGAAGATTTTCTTAGAATCTGTTGACAACATTTAGATAAATACAGAGAGGCTTGGGCAACCATGGAATCCAGGGAATGGTGTTACAAGATTAGGATGGAAAAAAGGTAACTATGTCCCATTAAATGTAATCAGGTTACCACTACATTTTGCAAAAATACGGAATATTAGCACAAATACAACAATTATTTTAATAGGCTAAAGAAAGATATACTATGCCAGAGTTGCTAACCCTGAATTTCCCCTATGGGGGTCAATAAAGAATTATCTTATCTTATAAGACATTCTTTTCAGTCTCTGTCTGCACAATCCACTAACAGCACAAGTTCATTCACATCACAAAAAGCAAAACACGCTGTTTGCATGCCTTTAGTTGACAAATGCACACACACAAAACCCCTTCATTGTGACTTTTACCTCATTTACTTTGTTCAATAAATTCAAATCCATTCATCCAAAATCTGAATTCAAATCATATTCCCATGATGGTCTGAATGCCAATTTACAAAGACTTCATATTAATTGGAGCTAATTTGGTTTAACTAAATATTTCTTTGATAATAGTTGTTGGAGTAATACATATATAATGCATGGATTAAGAGAAGAAATCAAGCCCATAAAAGCTTCATACTTTACTGTCAATAGATTACAGAGTAGTTAGTCATGAACTTGATCAGTTATACAATGTTCAGTAAGAATGAATGCGCTTATACATTTTTTTTGTTGGTTTGTTTTGTATGTGCTTGTTTGGGGCTGCACCGTTGCCTCGCAGCCAGAAGGTTGCCAATTCACGTCCCGGTGGGGACGCTGGGATCTTTGTGCGTGGAGTTTGCATGTTCTCCCTGTGCAGTGTGGGTTCTCTCTGGGTTCTCTTCCTCCCACACAGTCCAAAAACATGTTGAGGTTAATTGGTGATTCTAAATTGTCAGCAGGTGTGAATGTGAGTGTGCTTGGTTGTCTGTCTCTAAGTGTAGCCCTGCGATAGACTGATGACCTGTCCAGGGTGTCCCCTGCCTTTGCCTGAAGTCAGCTGGGATAGACTCCAGCCCCCTGCGAACCTAGTGAGGATTAAGCGGTGTATAGATCATGGATGAATGGATGGATGTGCTTCTTTGTATTTTTACAGTATTCTTGTGGGGCTGTGTTCAAATATTTGCTTATTTTACATTACGAAACGTCTCCTGGAAACTGTGTGTAGGATATTCATATATGGATGATGTTACCGTGATGTGTGGCTACATGCAATGTTCAGAGGTTTAGAATGTAAATAAACTCATTCCTTCACCTCAAATTCTTTGATAGTTCCGGTCCATGTGCACCCTTCATTAGGACACACAGCTGCCAAGGCCTCAACTTCTCTGCGGGCTGCATTATCGGGGAAAGCCTAGATGGAAAAATGGAGGTTGTTGTCAGTGTTGTCTGGTTTGTGTCTTTAGTTGCGGTCTGAGGGATAGTGTTACCAGTACTCTGCATCAGTTTCCTCAGGGTCAGGGTGCTTGGAGCTCACTTTTCTCTCCTGGCTCTAATTACTCTAGCCAATATGGCCACAGAAAAACAGGAGGATATCTGCTTCATCTACTGTCAGTGCTGCCAAGAAGAAGAGCAGTCACAAAGTTTTTGTTGTGTTGGATCTTTGCTGCAGAACATTAGATCTGAAAACAAACAATGACTATGACGTCACAGTGCTGACTCTCAGGATTATTTTGAGAGTTTTTATATCCAGAAACATTTTGGCTCTCATCACCAGCAAGACTAAAATACCAAACCTGGCAAAACTCTGCTCTAATGACCAACTGCTCAGAATGCTAACAAAACAGGGAATTGAAGTGCACTATAATGATTTATTCATTGTAACTGTGAGGAACTCTGACAAAAGGTGCATGGCAAAAAAATGTACTTACACCACCTTGCTTGAGAATGGAGGTGGGTTCCTCAAACAAGTCTTCCTTGATGCATGCACTGCATTTCTGTGGTCCAGAACTTAAAGGAAGAAAAATCACATGAATACAAATATTGTGACAACATTAAACGGCCCTGTGCCCTTACTCAGACAACATAGATACTTGATGTTAGCATTGATGTGATCCAGGTAGTTTAAGTTTACTGTTGACTCGTGGATCAGAGCTGTCAACCACTTCTCCTGGCCTCCAAGCTCAGCTGGGCTAGAGTCGCTCCAGATCAGTGAACCTTCTTCTTAGGGCTGCTTTTTTTTTTCTTTTGGGGGGTGGGGGAGCATTTTAGACCTTTTCTTTATAGTGGCAATGGAGAGAGATGGGAAAAGGGGGTAAGAGCCCAGAGGAATCTTCCAGTTTGCCAGGAATCAAAGTCAGAACTTTGAGTTGAGATCATTTGGTCACACTTTGACAAGAAAAGGTTAGTGAACCCTTTAGAATGAGGGGGTTTTATGCATCAGGATTTGAGTTAAGGTCATAAACTGGGATCTGATCTTCTAAGTCACAAATACAGATAAATATAATGTGTCAACACTAATAACGCACAAACAATTATATTATTTAGTATTGGTATTGAGAAAAAAAAACATCAAATATTCCCAGTGTTGGTTGAAAAAAAATGTCAATTCTTGGATTTAATAACTTAATCTTCTTTGGCAGCATCAGCCTCAAACAAGTGTTTGTGGTGGTTGTGGATTAGAGATTCACAATGTTCAGTTCACAACATCTTTGTTGGGTTAAGGTCTGTGTTCTGATTCCAACACCTTAGCCACAGTCAGAAACACTAGTTTGAGGTTGATGCTGCCAAAGGAGGTTCAACCAGTTATAAGATTCTTAAAAATCCACTTACTTTTTCCACTAGCACTGGAAAAATGTATATGCTTTGTTAAATAAAGATACAAAGATTATAATTTTTTGGGTGTGATTAAGCTTAAACAATTGTGTTTTACTTTTATTTTGAAAATCAGGTCACATGCTGAAAGTCATGTCATTCCAATTAATACTTGATATTGGATTTTGAGTAATTTGTTGTTTTGTTTTTGTTTTTTTTTTGGTAAATCAGTATAGCTATTTTTAAAAACATGTATTGATTTCAGCTTCTCAAATGTGCAGAGTTGTGCGTTTTCCCCTTTTAAATCATTCTACGCTGGACATCCTTGGGTGTTGACCTGTTGGTAGAACAAACTAGCCATTTGTATAAGGCAATTTTTGACATATTGAAAACATGTTATAGATAAATTGTCAACCAACTGATTGAGGAAATACTGACAGACCCTTCATAATAGTATTGTCAGTTGCAGCTACACACTTTAATAAAAACTTCATAAAAAATGTCCAAAGCCCCGACTTGTCCTGTTGTAGCAAATGCTATTAAAAACACACAGGAAACCTGATTATTGTGATGAATGTGCTAATAACACAAGAATAACATGTATTGCATATGTGCAAATGTCAGTGCAGAGGCAAAACATTGTGCAGCCCTAGCTTCAAGTCCATTACAGTCACCAGATGTAACTCCTGTTTTGTGAGTTGAATTTTACTTTGTTGATGACAGTGGTCAAGAGGACATGACTGCCACTCCACGGGGACACTGAGATGGCAGAAAAATGTCACTTGTTATCTCCGAGTTTAACCAATCAGTGTGTCAGATGTACCTGCTTTATTTGTATAAAAACCTTAACCTAATTTCTTGGCACAATACATAAATAACCAGTGTTACACTGAAATCTGTAAATGTCCTGATCTGTAACCTGACAAAGTCCGGCTAATTCATGTTATTTATGCTACCTCTTTACTGTGATCATATATTATACTGCATTTGAAGTTGTTACCAAAAAAGTGGGACTCCATTATAGCCATACAGCAACACAGAATTTGATAGTCACTGATTTCTGTTAAACACCCCCTTTCTAATAGTTTTACTTTTAGCAAAGTATTTATATAGATTCGTTCTTCCTATAGCAGCAGTCACCACTCTAAGTGGTGCAAAAATAATTAAATCAAAATGAAACTGAAACTTAAAATGAAATGTCTAGTACCATCACACATGCGCACTTCAGGAAAAAAACTGATCCCACTACCGAGCTTTCTTCTAACTACGCATACAAAAAATACTGTATGGATATCAATATCAATGTGCCTATTTGTAGTCTTGTCTGTGTACTAGGATTTTAAAAATGAAAAACAATGTTCTCGTTCTTATTGTTACTGTTATGTTAACACAAAAAAACTAGCTAAAAAAAAACGCAACTATTACAAAGGTTCGATGGATCTTTGTCAGGTGATGTTATTTACCATACGGATAAAGGTCATCCTAAATTCCGTTAAAACTATGCCCAGTTTAATGTCGTTTCGCTTATCTACAAAAGATGTGCACTTCGTGGAATATATTCTAAAAACTATACAGTAGCCAGACGTTTTAGTAACTTCGGCACACATACCGACCTGATAGTAGTTCTATGTAACACACCGTCAGGTTCAACTTCTCGAAACCCACACCGTTACTCTGGTGTCCGGCCAGTTTCAGCAGAGGTTAGCGGGATAGACTGGGAGGACACCTGGCCAGCCTATCACACACACTAGTTCAGATCTTATTTGGATAAAGTGGCTATTGTTAATTTAGCTATGCGTCGGATGTTGCTGTTTATTCTTTGTAATCAATGTACCGTATGTTGTTATACTCGTGCGTAGCGTATCCTGTGACACTAAGCAGGGCAGCGTTAAATTGTGAGATATTTGAACGAGGTTTGGTGACAAGCTCGGGATGCTCATATTGGCTACACACATCTAGCTAGCTCGCTAGCAACCATGACACTACTCACCTCACAATTTTGTTGAAACAGAACGAACAAAAGCGGTGACCGCACTGGGCTTGCAGGGGCCTTCTCAGGACTTTCTGACACGAGTTGCACAAATGCTTGTCTTCGAGGTTGTTGGCCAAAATTTTCTTTGGGAAGCCCGGCTTGTTGCCTTCCAGGGAAGATGGTGGAGACGGCTCCTGTGCAGCCATTATTCCCCTTGAACAATATCGGGGTACTCAGCGGGGTGTGTTCAAGACAGCAAACACAGCTGAATGCAATTCCAGCAGCCACTCATTGCTCTTTAACAATTTATTTAAACGTGTATACCTGCTTATGTTACGAACCCATGGCGACATATGTTCCTCATATGGACAGACAAATAAGAGCAGGCGTTTGCTTGTGATAAAAAGTGTCAGCAGTGAGGATGCTACCCTCCGTTGTAAGGTGCTACGTCTGCCGCTAGGCGCCGCCAGCCCGGGAGAGGCGCATCGAGCTGGGTATGATGAGGAAGCAGGCTGCGCTGGATTGGACAATATGGATTGGAGCTCAAGAGCTGAGGGAAGCTAGATACACTTCCTCTCAGAAGTAGTGTTAGTGTGGCTTCAACATAAAGGCATAGTGGTTTTTTTTTGTTTGTTTTTGTTTTTTTAAAATCCACTTTAAAAGAATACAGTTGTCCTCAAATGTATTCATACCCTTCAATTAAAGAAAAGGCAAAATTCACAACAGTCACTCAAATACCTAGAAAGTTATAACATTTACAATAAATACAAATTTGCTAAATTATAATTTTGTGAAATAAGACATTGCTTTTGAATTGTGGTTGAAAAGAATAATTTTAAAAAACAAACAAAACTGTCCGGGACAAATTAGAGCACTTTGCTGATGAGCAGTGGGCCAAAATCAAAATACCTGTCAACAGGTGCAGAAATCTGATTGAGAGTTACAGAAAACACTTGATTGTCTCAAAGGGTTGTTTAAAAAAATATTAGTTTATGGGTCCCATCATGCTTGTTTGCTTGTTTTTGTTTGTTTGTTTGTTTATATATAAATATAAATACAAGCCCAACAGTTGGAACTCAATGAAACAAAATCTGTCCACCTTTCACTGCTGACATTCAAATCATTGTTGTTGTTTTTAATACTTCCTTTGTCCACCTTTATTTTTAATGTTCACATGTCTGTTCAAAAAAAGTATGCATATTTGTGCATTTTCAATAAGATAAGATCATTTTTTCATACTTAAATATGAAATTTCAGTGGGGGGGGGGCACAATGCACTTTAATGTAAGTAATCAACTGGAGAAGTGTCCTGTTGATATGTATTCATTTTTACTCTATGCAGCTGTAACTTTGGGTAAAATGGTTCATATCCGAACCATCTCCAAACTAAAAACAGTTTTTTCACACTCAGATCTGGAAAAGGTGAGTCATGCATTTATTTGCTTGCATCTGGATTCCTGCAACTCCCTTCTTTCTGGTATCAACCACAAGTCAGTGTCTCGCCTCCAGCTGGTTCAGAATGCAGCAGCTCAGCTTCGTACTGTTTTTAGCAGACATCACATTACCCCAATCCTGGCACCAACTTATTTAACAGAACTTTTGACCCTTTATGAGCCTGTTCACAGCCTTAGATCTTCAGGTGGGCCCTTCTGTCTGTTCCAAAGTTGAGACTGAAATCTATGAGTGACAGAGGATCTGTGATCAGGGCCCCTCAGCTTTGAAATGACCTGTCTGAGGAGATAAGACTGCAAAATTAGTGTTTTCTTTTAAATCACTTCTTAATAAATTTTTTTATGGGCTTGCTGTTATGTAGTGTATTATATTTATTATTATTGTCTAATTATTTTTTCTTTATCTATTTCATTGTTCATTTTATTCTCTTTTAGGGCTGCAAGGTGGAATGGTGGTTAGCACTGCTGCACTCACAGCAAGAAGGTCGCCGATTTGCATCCCAATGTGAGCACCGGGATCTTTCTGTGTGGAGTTTGCATGTTCTCCCCGTGCAGCGTGGGTTCTCTTCAGGTTCTCCAGCTTTCTCATACACAGTCCAAAAACATGTTGAGGTTAATTGGTGATTCTAAATTGTCTGTAGGTGTGAATGTGAGTGTGCTTGGTTGTCTGTCTCTAAGTGTAG